GCCATTTATTCCTCATAATTCTTCGAACGCCATGCTCTACGCGGCAACGATCGTAAGTGCGAGAAATAAGATAAAACAATTCGACGATGCGAGAACTTGCAGCGTCGAAGCGAGAAAACAATGGTCTAATTATTCATGTCTTGTGATCGATAGTACCAGCGTTTGAACGAGCCGGCGCGGCGCGTCGTGCAGCAAAGAATCGCGCGCCGTCGTGCATTCTCGAGCGGATGGAAACGGCCGGGAAGCGAACGGCGCGATGTAATTGGTGGCCAATTTGTCGTCGATTCGCGTTCGAAACGAGAATCGAAGTGTCTGAGGGAGGGTCCTCGGGGAGCGGTTAATACCGCGCGAGCAAGCGAGTCGAGCCGAGAGAAAATGACCGACGAGACGACGCCCGCTGAAGACGCAACGTGGACGAGATATCGAGAAGTTCGAGTCGAGTCGCTTCTCGCCTTTTCACAGGGCTGTTAAACGGCCATTAGCGAGGTTCGAGCGCGCGCGCCTCTTCCGCCCCTGCGCCCTGCTGCTCGTCGCGGTGCCCTCGGATTTCTAAAGGCCCACCGACATTCGGAGAAGCGTCCGAGACGATTAGGCGACGAATACCCGACGCGACGCGGGGCGACGCTAATTTTCTACTAGCCCCAATCAAAAGAGTACGCTTCGGAATCGGCTTAGAAGATCCGCTAATCAGTTTACCTTTAATCCCGTTCCAGAAATCCCAGCGAAAACAAGGAGATCTCCTTTTACCTCGTCTTTTCCCGACGCGATAAGAAAGTTAACTCACGAACGCATATTCCGTACCTCCCCCCGCGAAATACGCCCGTCTATCTGCTGTTTCTGAAAGCACTCGATATTTTTCCTCCGGGGTTAGACAGCCCAAAATTCGATCTTCCACCCTCTTGCGAGAGTGCTCCGAAGTCAATGCCACTTGATTACGCGTCGAAATTTGCAGAATTGACAGCGGAAAGTGTAGACCTTTTTCAGTGGAAAGTATCGAACGGCGCACAGTGAAGTACATACAGTGGGCCACAAAAGTGATAACAGAGGGACTAGTCTATTAGACGAGAGCTAAACATTTTTTTTAAATTTTGTCATTACTTGGAATGAAAAGTCAAAATTAAAAACCCTCGTTTTCTAACTTCTTATCTGAGTCTATAACGATAATTAAAAAACGCCTTTCGCAGATCTCGGTAACTTATACGCGTGCTGAAAATTTGACCGACATTTTTTTACGAATCCAAGTAATATTAATGCCAGCTCTCCTTTGTAGGTGCTTTAGATAAGTGTGTATTTTACTTTACGTTAAGTATTACATATGTACTGTATTACCAGTGTTATTGTAACTGAATTAAACAAATCATAGAGAGTTTGATTACGCTTCCAATGAAATTTCGAACGCATGTTTCGATATCGCGTTAATATCGATATAAAAAGGATTAACTACCAATTCGCGTCTGTAGAAGTTTTAAGTTCGATCAAATAAGACAAACGAAGACCCGGCGAACCATCTAGATTAATTGAAAGGCATTCTGTCGATTATATAGCATCAATTTCCTTCAAAAACAAACGTAACCAATAGGCGCAAATTAGCTTAGGGAAAGAATCGAGATTTTGATGTCCCGACGATAATTTATTTATTTATTCATTTATTGAATATACACGGAAAGTAGCCAATTCGTTATAAAATTGCAAGAAAAAGGAGGAAAAAAAATATAAAAAGAAACAACGTTCCATTGCTGTTCTATGCCTAATCCGGCCAAACGACTAAAAAATATACGAGTTCGATGGTGAACGAATAAACTCGATGACGCTAGCTCGTTCAAATCCATAATTACAAAAGAATGTCTGCATTAAGGTAAAGTAATTAAAGCTGCATCTATAAATTCGTTTGTAAATTTTGTTACACCTCGAACTTTTTTGTAGCGAAATAATAGTAAGTATTGGCGTTATTTCATTCCCAAACTGCACAAAAACGAAGCGAATAATTTCGGTCAGCTTTCGTGGCCAGACACGCGAGCATGCGACGTGCAATGTTCCGCGGAAGCGAAGACATTGCCTCAGTGCCGATGAGTCAATCGATGATTAAATTACGGTAATTAATAAATGAGAGAGAAATTAAACGATGGCTTACTCTTCTATTTAAAGCTATCGAAGCACCTCGGCGATACTTGCTTCAGACTACGGGCGAAATCAACAGTGAAACGAAATCAATTAATATTATCGGCGGTTAATATTAATAAGTTGCCCGCGCTTCGGTTCGCGATACACTCTCGGCCGCGGTTATATTTCCGCGAAAACACGTAAATCGTCGGGAAGGCGAAACGTTTCCACGGAAGTCGAAGCGGAACGATGCGTTCCGTCCGCGCGATTTGCCCGATCTAAACCGTGTTATACCTTACGCATTATACCACCGTAGCCATTTTTCGAGCGAGGCGTACAAGCGCACGAACGATTGTAGTCTCGCGCATCACCGATTGAAATGTATTATTTTTTTATCGAGCTGCCGCCGATGTTTTTTAAAGCGCGCGCGTGTATGAGCGCGACACACACACACACACACAATCTCCCTCTCTCTCTCTCTCTCTCTCTCTCTCACTGTCTCTTTCTCTCACTGTCTCTTTCTCTCTTTCTCTGTTTTTCTCTCGCGTCGAAGTACGGGTGAAAATCAAAATAAAATCGAGGAAGCGTAATTCGCGATATCCTCTCTGTCATGCCCGCTGACAAGGATGCAGCCAGTGACTGATAAATGGCGACATCCATCAGCGTATCGGGCAGCAGCCGAGAAAAAAATGTTTTCCGTGCGAAACATTACGTGTGGTGGGAATGTCGCAGCCTATCCGAGAGCTGGATCATCTTTCGGGGACAAGGTTATGGCTATTTTCGTCACGGTAACACCGGGCGGTTGTAAAATCTTGAGCCGTTTTAATGGGAATGCAGCTATATTTTCTTCCTCGGCGCATTAACCCTGTTGTGTCAGCCACGCTTCGACCGCGAATGTTACGCATTCCTCTTATAAAAGTATGGATAATAAAACGTTTAATAAAACTCAGCGATGTTCTCGTCTTCGTCAAAATGCAGCGACACCTTTAGCAGCACGAGCACGATTTTTCGTCACTCCGTTTCGTGTAAGTTTGGTCATAAACATTTGCAATTTGGACGAAATAATTCGTTATAGCGGGAAGACAACTCCAACGGGCTTTTTTTCGGCATGGAAATTTTTAACAGTGATACGTGAAGTTTTACGTCGTTCTTGCTTATAAAAGCCTGGCGTCACCATATGATAACACTTCGAATTTGCACAGTTTCGTTTCGAACGAGGGTGTCATCCCTTGGACAGACATCATCTGTTAGTGCAGGACGTTATTCTATGATGCCAAAATCGTATAGATTAATTGGAAGGTGTAATTAATTGAAGGCATCTATTTCCTTCAAGAACAAACGTAACCAAGAAGTGGAAATCGTGTTATTCGAAAAGTTTGGGGAAAGAATCGAGATCTTGATGTCCCGACGGTAATTTATTTATTCATTCATTTATTGAATATATACGGGAAGTTACCAATTAGTTATAAAATCACAGGAAAATGGAGAAAAAGAATTAATTATTGCATAAAAATTAATTAATTGCCTAATTGCTTCAAGAAATAGCATTCCGTAAGATAGTTATTGCTATTTACTCAATGAATTCTTCGTACATTGGAAATATTTGGTCTACATTTCTAAATGTGCCAGAAAAATATTTTGTCCGATTAAATAATCAACAATTGAACAGCGATTCTTTAAATAACTTTTCACCGTGAAAGAAAACAGTCCCCATTGTGAAACGTGTTGAACAACAGTTAATTGCCCGGTTAACGGGTCAAGAATAGTGTTACAATTCTTTTGAAAATACACAGAAAACAAAGGGTTGGCTGTTCAACAAGGACTAATCAATTTTATCTTCGATTGCAACGCGTTATTGGTGGTCGAAGGGGAGAACTTAAGAAACGAAGAGGGATATACAAATCGAGAAAAATCCGAATAAGCGGAGTGAACTTCGGAAGAGGAAATGGCGGGGTCGGTGCTCCACCGAAGTCAGAGAAGAATTTACTAGAAAATTTCGGAGGCAAGCATATCTTGCGGGTCCCGCAAGGGGCCAATATTCGGCCGCTGGTAAACAAATTTCGTCGCGCAGGTATCATTCGGGAATAACACAGCTGTATCTGCTGGCGCAGTAGAAAATATTCAGGAAGCCATCGAGCGAAACCTTTCTGCGTCGCATCGGGAATCATGATTCTATTGTGGGACCGACTTTTCGAAATTTCCTCGCAAACTCTTCTGCAACTTGATCCTGACACGGCCCTTTCGATCGAGCACCTTCCAGACCCTCGTCCAAACTTTAGCAACCGTCGCTCGGTTAGCCGCCGCGTCTACGAAGATCTTAACAAGTTTGAAACAATAATCTCGGAGGAGCTCGCGGAAGATTTGCGAATAAAATTACCGTTGCTGTTCGCTTGCAAGGTGCTCGATTTTTCATGGATTACCGTTTAACTGCCGGTAGATGAAGCGTTAATTTGCAAAATTAACCAACCCCGGATGCAAAATCGACGCGACGGCAGAGGATCAGGGAAGCTGAACGATCAACTTTTAAAACGCCCTCTCTGGTAAAGGAAGAATCGAACAAAATGCACAGCTTTCGAACGCGATTCAAAAGAAGAGCAAGAGCAGGCTACTTAATTCGAAGTAAAAACGGTAAAAGCCGTGCAAAGCAGAGCCGAAGGGCTGCCTCTAACGACCCCGTCCCCAAAGCAGCCAAGGTAGAACCCGAACGCGGCATTTTCCGAAAATTCGTTTGAACTTCGAAGCCCACGGGGCGATCGATTACCGGGAAGAATCGGCCGGAAAAAATCCGAGGGTCGATTCATCGGCGTGAGTGTAACGAAGCGCTGCCGGAGGACAGGAATTCGAAAGAGCAGTTCCGCGTTGGCTTTTTTTTTGTTCCCGGGGCCGAATCCAGTGATTACCGGGCGAATTTGTTGAAGAAAGCAGCTCCGGTTACCTGTGTCCTGTCCGAGTTCTCCGACTTCCGTAGCCACCTGACACGCCGATACACTCGCACGTAAGTTCGCACACTTCCTCGCGCGTTCTCTTTCCCTTCCGCTCTCGCTCTCTCTCTCTCTCTCTCTCTCTCTCTCTTTCCCTCACTCTTTCTCTCTATCTCTCTCTGTCTCGTTTTATTCCAACCAGCACACCATGGTCCGAAGAGTAGCTCGCTCGCGGTGAACTCAAGTCCAGGCTGAATTATGCGCCGAACACGTGGCCTGACTACGTCCTGTCATCGGTCTCAAGTGTCCGCCGCGCGTCTCACACCACTCTGTCCCGAGAGAACATCATCTCGCGGCGTTCTCGAGTTCCGTTCGCATTCGCACGCACTGTTTCCATCGATCCTCGGGATCCCGATGATCCACCGACGATGTCTCGCGGCTCCGGGCCCGATTTTCCTGTTCCCGAACGACGATATCGAGGCGACCAGCTGCGTATCCAATCGCGGGTAGGAGCCCGATCTGGACGTAAACACAAGAATATCGATCACTGATCCCGACGAACGGACCGATCCCGCGGGATCTACGAATCGGAACCGCAGAAATCCTCTGGTTGCAGGGACGAGGGACGCGTGGACCGGCTACCGGGCCAGCCTAACCGGTTAGGCTAGCCGATCGCGGGACATCGGGGGTTGCAAACACTGCGTGGGAACGTTGCTCGAGGGAAACGAAGCGCGCGCGCCGAGCTCCGCGATGTCACTGGATGCTGGCGACGAACTTTCGCGCACGGATACCATCCTCACTCCAACCTGCGCCCGAAACCACCCTCCTCCACCCTCTTGCACCCTCGCGGCCCCCCCGCTACTCTCCTCCGCTGGCCGCCGTGCTGGATCTCTCTCCGGTGCACCTAGTCGGGACCTCTGCCGCGCGTGCACCCCCGTTCCCAACGACACCCCCGACTGCGCACCCTCTCGCTCTCTCTCACTCTCTCTCTCTCTCTCTCTCTCTCTCTCTCTGTTCTCTCGTGCGAGCTCGATAATCTTCGTGCGAGCTCGCAGCCTACGCTCCAGAGATGAACAACCGAGAGAAGAGGCTACGGACCGGCCAGGCGATGCATCGAGAACGAGAAGAATTTCGGGATGTTGTCCAAAAATGTGCAAGGTAAAAGTACCCATTATGGAACGCTTTCCAAGTATATATGACATTGTCACCGATTTGAATACAACTGAAAGGCGTTGTCGTCGAATATTTATATTACTGTGCGATAAATTGATGTTTCTGGATAACGCAGTGAATACACTTATTATTGCAGAAACGAGTGAACATGATATTCTGAAAATCCTGAAGACATAAACAGAATGAAAAGAATATTATCAATATTGATAATATTGTTAGAGCTTTTCCTGCTTATTTGAATTATTAGAAGAAACAGTTTATTTTTGTTTCATTTCTGGGTTTTTTTTGCAATCATCTTGGAACATTTTCATTTTGCATAAAGTTCCGCGGTCTGATCTCTAAATATTTATTTCGTACGAATGAAAGTAATACGAATGAAATAGTAATGTACGAACGTGTCTTTATATTACGGGACACCGTCTTCGCACCATGTCCCCGTGTTTCATATTCAATGTTCCTATTTTGAAACAGGAATTTCAAATGCCTGCAAGGGATCTTTTTTTCCATTCGAACGAACGTTCCTTTTACAGCCGACTGTTACATAGCAGTGTCCGTGAATTTAGAAGGAGCCGCGTTCGAAAATATAGGTCGAATTTTTACACCGTTTTTCACGTGCTCCGGCTATTTTTTATCCTATTGTTTGTGCTGTTGTTTCAAGAACAGCTAAAAATCGAGCGGTGTTTCATAACAGGTACATTTACCTCGTTCGCGTCCGTTCAAAAACATGCGACGCATCGGCACGTGTACGATGTCCAGGCATACTATTTCGATAAAATAGTAACGGATGCAATTGTTGTTTCGAGGGGGATTGAATATAAATTGGATGATAATGATTTTGATAGTAATTCGCGCGTCGAAGAGCAGAATCGGATCGATAACCGGCCGCTCTCCTAGAAAATGATCATTTATTTACACTGCGAGATGATACCGCGGGAAATGAATTATGTAATTATTCTGATAGATATATTAATTAGTTTGTTTCGATGATTTCACTGCGATCAATTTCATGCGCTAGCTATCCGGTTCCGTTTCGGATTCAATAGGAAACGCGTAAATAAATAATTGTCTTCTTCCAGAGTAGCGCTTTTATTGGTCCAGCCCTGTTTCCGACTGTGTAAACTCGTCGTTTTCTTAACACAGTTGTCCACGGCTCTTTGTTGAACGGCATAGTTTCTTGTTAGTAGCTTCCTTGCTGTGTAATTCGGTCAAACAAATGCAACAGCTTCTTGCGAACAAATATTTGAGTCACTGGCCCGTCTGTCGTGGCAGTCGATTCTAGTTGTTTGAGTCTGGAGGCAAGTTTTGTCCCGGTGCTGTTATTTGGGCTCATTGGCGGGACCTTGTCTCTCGCGCTGTGCTATTTATTCGTTTCCCGATTTTTTTTATCAGTTTTATGATATCAAAATTATCTCCGCATAATTGTTCGACAATCCGACAAACAAAAATCATTTTTGAGCTCATTTTGGCTCGGCTCTCTCGAAGCCATTCAATCATTCGAAGGCCATGTTTCATGCACGGTGCAATAAAGAAAAATGTGAATTTTTTACTGTTGTAAATTAGATATAATTCAGTGATAAATAACAATATACAGGGCGTTCCGTTTAACCGAGTACAGTCGTAATACGAATAAGAAAATGTATGACCCGATTTAGAAAAATCCAGTTGAACTTGAAATATCCTTGTTAATTTAAATTGTTAATATTACGTAAGACACCTCTTTGACAGCTTTTGTATAAATATTTGTTTAGTAGCTTCAATCCATCCCGAGATATTTCAGTGTACTCGGTTAGAGGAAACACTCTATACACATTCTAAAAATACGGAAATATTTTTAGCACTAAATCACGGTGATCTAGCGAAACTTTCGTATTATCGGCGAGAGTCTCTGTTGTTCTATTCTGTATGTGTGTGTGCAGTACCCATTACAATTATACTATCATAGTGGTACTGCACTTATACAAATATAATTTATCAAGATAACGTATCGGTGAGAGAGAGAGAGAGAGAGAGAGAGAGAGAGAGAGAGCACCGATGTTTGATTAGCACCTCTCGCGGGAACTCGTGGAAGTAAACTTTTAACGTCACAGAAATCTGATACCATAAAATATCATTCATATCATTTACTACTTATTTATTATTTATTATATAATATGATATTATATTATTTATTATTCATCATTTATTAGCAATTACAAGACTGAACTTATTTCGATTATTATTATAATGTGTGCTTGAATCAAGAAATTTATTCAATCATTTCCTGCAAAAGTGGCCCAATAATGCCAAAAATGTTGAAATAAAATTTGTGGAACCGGTCATTTTGACCATCGTGGTAGATTGATCGTTAAACTGCAACGTTCGTAGAAAAGGTCAGAATAACGTTGAGAAATCTAAGAAAGAAAGTGCCGACTACGATATATCGCGGGCTCGTTGACTCGGTTCGAATTGGTGCGGCGAAGTCGTCGAAGTGGTCATCAGGAACCGTCAAATGGGGCGGGACTCGCGTGTCATCGATTCTGAGAGGGAAACAGGAAGCGGTCCGAAGCGGAACGAGGTGGTAGACGTCTCCTTGGCACTCGAGAACCGCATAGTCAGAGACTGCCAAGCTCGCTCTCCCATCTCTGATTCGCGGGGCTCGATTAATTTCGATCGAACGCTGGCTCAATCGATATATCCCCCGAGTTAATTACCCTGGTAAAAAAGCCGTGACGCTATCGGGCCCGTGGTCTCATTAATCTCGCAACTCGCGAGCGCACGGGAGACAGGCGGGAGGAGATCGCACGCTTTTTCGCAGGAAGCGCGAACGACGAAGCACGTTTTCATAGCCACCTCCCGTCTCCATCCCCGCGGACCGTGCGGGGTTAGCCTGGAAAAGCTTACTGATATTTTTATAGGACCGTAAAGAATCTCGGCATCGAAATCAAATTTGCCCTGAACAAAGAAGACGTGTTGTTGGTTGCTAAGACTTGTCCGTTCGATTTATTTCTTCAACGTTTTCGACACCATGCGCGCGGGAGAGATATATTAATATCTTTTTAAACAAATTAATTTTTTTCTTATTTCGTTACATATTTGAAAGAATTCCTCTGCGAAATCCGAAAAATCTCGTTATATACTTGTCAAAATCTTATCGTCAGTTTCGCAAATATTAAATGGAAAGCTCGATTTGTGATCCGCAGATAGCGTGTTAATAGGGAGACACCACCCTGAGGTGTTAACAAATAGGTGAAGTTTAGGAATAGTTTTTCTAGATAAGTACTAAATAAAAGATTTAGTCTTTTTAAGAGAATAGAAATGTGAGTTCCAGCTTCATTTCTCAATTTTTTAAAAGTAAAAATCGTACAATATGACGTAGTTATTCGTTGCTTCCGAAACCCGTTCTGGTAGAACATTTATTGATTCATAATCTGGTAGAAACATTTTATTGATTCATAAACTCGAAACTATTGTCTGAAATGTAGCGTATGAGTTTTCGAGAATTGTAATAATTGTAGAAATGGCCACACAGTTTCAAGAAAAAAAAACAGCTATTTATATCTCACAACATCGACTTTAAATGCTTATGAATAATTAAATAATTGACATATCATGCTATGAAAAATATCTTCATGAAATTTGAAGTAAGCCGGATGTACAGTTCCGGAGATTTTATGACGACCAGATTGAAAAACGTAGCTTCAAGAAAAACGTAAAAGAAGCTTTACGCTAACTTTTCTCTCTGATAAATTAAGATTTTTCAAACTTTATCGTCAGTCGCTAAATATTTTAATTTCGAAAAATCGCCTGGAAATCTGTGAATACTTTATTATATTCTTTCACTTCGCAAACAGACAGAACATTTCAGTAGATCTAATATGTATTATTAACCCATTAACTGCTACGATCCCCATTCGGGGATTTTGGAATTTTATGTACACTACTTGGCGCGAAGAATATATCAGATGCGTTTGACAGTTTAATGTCATTTTATACATATCAGTCAATATTCTTTATAGCAGACGGTGTATTTCGTTTCTTTTCAACAAGTGAACAAATTTGGAAATCATCTGTAAGTTGAATACTACAAAATTATCATATTTGAAGCATGATATTTTTGGTTTGGTTTTTATATTATAATTAAATACCATACATAAATATGTAATTTAGAGCTTATAGTAGCTATGTGTTACTTACTCAATCTTCTGTTTTTCATACAATGAGAAAGATTTTTCTTTTTTTTTATTCATGCAATCTGCCACACTCCCTATTTGGGACTTTTTAAAAAATATAAATTGGGTAGTTAATGAATTAATTCAGTAAGCTGCCTCATTGTTTTATTATTCTGGCTTTAGCGATAGGCAATCTCTAAATCGAAATCACCGATGTAGCTTAATCTAATTTAACATTTTATTATGATCAAGTACTATAATCGAGCATTCGTTATCCTCGTTTTGTATGCACGATTATTATTACACCGCGAATCCTTATGCAAAATGAAAATTCTCTAGCTCGATTGCAATAAACAGAAGTCAAATAAAAANTAATTTCGAAAAATCGCCTGGAAATCTGTGAATACTTTATTATATTCTTTCACTTCGCAAACAGACAGA